TTCTTCTTCTTCTTCTTTTTTCTTTTCTTTTTCCTCCCCTTCTTAATTTGTTCCGTCACCCAAGATTGGGAGCAGCCGGCAGCGGAAAATCGAGGCGGTGGTCAGGGGTGTGGCGGCCGGATCCGAACAGATCTAATGTCTCCCCTTCTTATTTTTTCCCGTCACCCAAGATTGGGAGCACCGGAAAACCGAGGCGGTGGTCGGAGGTGTGTGGCGGCCGGATCCGGACAGGTCTAATGTAGTATAATCTCCATCACCTCCGCCCATTTAATTTTTCTTTTTTCCCAAAGCTTCCCATATTTGTTCATAGTTCTAACTATAAATTTCCCAGATTTCCCCAATTCCTCAATTTAATTTTATGTGTAAGAAAGTTAATTTTTGTGGTAATAATGGTTGAAGGAGATGTATGAGGGTTCACAGAAGGAAGTGAGGATTGAGGATCGGAAGAGAGTAGGCATAAGGGTAATATGGGAAAGTCAAAGACAATTTCAACTTTTCTTAAAGTGCGTGCCGGGTCAAACCGAGAACTTCTTTTTTGGACGGAGGGAGTATTTAAAATCTAAATGAAATATAAGTAATAAAAAAATACCTGAGAAATGTTGAAGGTTAGGGAGTAGTGTGAAAATAGGTTGAATTTGAAAAGTGAGTAAAGTAGTGGGTGAAAGGGTGGTTTAAATAAAAAAAAAGTGAGTGATAATTAAGAAGATGAAGGGGTGGGTGAAGTTGGATGGTTGGGAAGGAGGTGGTTGAAACATGTGGTGGAGAGGAAAAGGTGGGAAGTGGAAAAGGTGATTAAGGTGGGAAAAGGCTATTATTTTCGCATGTACTACATGCAAATATATTAAAAAAACGAACCGCGCGTAGGACATGCGATTTTACTGCAAAATCTGCAAAAGATTTGACAGTTCTGTAATTTTTTTTTAAAGTTTTTTTTTTTTGAAATCGCAGGTAGTATGTGCGAATGTCCTTCCCAGGAATTTAATGTTCCACTTTAGGAATTATTTTTTCCTTTTTTCCCGTTTGAGGGAAACCACCCCGTGCTATTTGGGTATTTAGCCGGTATACCAAATATTTCTGTTCGGTATGGAATTTTACATTGTATCGATCCCGATTCCCAAGCATTGGTTCGGTATGATTCGGAATGGTTCATTATCGGTTTCGGTACGAATCGAGATGAATATATACGTACCTAGTTTACATCACAAAATGTAACAAAACCTTTTATTTTTGAAAAATTGAAAGTACAATTAACCAAGATAAAAAATTTAAAAATGAAAAAATAAAATAAAAGAAATACTTATGAAAGTTAGTTTATATTTCACAAACTAAAGAGAACGAGTGATAACAAAGTATTATTTCAAATATTTGTTAATATTCTTATACTCATCTACAAAAAATTAAAAATTCTTATTAAAGTGCAACTTAAACATAATGAAATTAAACTAAATTGTCTATATAAATTTTTTATTTAATGAAGAAATATAAAAAGATTATCATTTTTATAATATATTAGTATATATGTTCGGTTCGGGAATTTTGGTATGGGAAGTAACCTCGTACCGTTCCCAAATACCGGATCGACCGTTCGGTTCGGTACAGTTCGGTTTCTTTTCGGTACTTTATCAGTTCAATATTTATCGGTTCGGTATTCATGGTTTTTTCGGGAAATATCGGGATCGGTTCGGTCTTTGCTCACCCCTACAAACGACAATTAGCTGAGAGGAAATCATATATATCCTTTATATATATAAAGCAGAGTCCGAGCCGCAGGAATGCAGCATTTGGCGTAGTTGTGGCGAGGCTGATGTGTCATTTTCTAAGAAAACAAGAAATGACGTGGAAGCTGATGTGTCATGAAACCTAAACCAAAAAGAAAAAAAGGAGACACTTGAAACTGCATAATGGTATTCATCCTAATGTATAAAGTCACACGCGCGAATGGATAAAGCGTAATGCGAAGCATAATAATGCATCATGCAATACATGGAAATGCATAATGGCAAACATGCCAATGTATAATGTCATCGTTATCCATGTTTTGTTCTATAGTTTATTTATTGTCTTATACTCTTATATATTGCATATTGCAATCAGGAAAGTAAGAATCTTCAAAGTTATGAATGGCCACTTCTTCCAAATAGACAACTAGTTTAAAATTTCAAATTTGTCAAGAGGCTGTATTATAGTAATAAGCAAAACATATAAGAATGTCTTGATTAGTTATGTTGTTTTTGGGGAATTGATAGACAACCTTTAAACCCTTCTTAAAACTTATTCCTGATTCCACACTAATGCTAGAAAGTGCACAATATATGCCATAATATAATAACTACTTGAGAAATTGAGCGAGCATTAGCCAATGAATTACTAGTTTATAGCCACTAGCTACTACACAAATGAATGAACAATCTCAGCAAATAAAAAAGAAGTGAAGACTATTAGAATCAATATGTATGACTAAATCGTAAACCAAAGACCATGCCTTATAGTCAATTAGTGCAGAACACATGAACCTCATTAATTCATCCTACGCCTTTATGTTCAAACAAAATGAGTGGGCCAGAATGAAGTCACTGCAATGGCAGATTTAGGCGGCAGTGTGCTCAATGTAAATAATGGCACCCACTGGGAGTCTATACGATGTATAAAGGACAATTGCATCCAGATGGGAGAGAAGACAGATCTAATCGAAGGAAATGGTTGGCGTGGCGCGAGAGGAGTGGTGAGAGCGCGGCGGCACGAGGGAAGTAAAAATAAATATTACTCTTAATTTGTAAATGGGTTGCCTAATGATTTACTACCACCTGGTGCATTTCAAGAGAACAACTCCTATTTTGGGAGTTTATGTTTCTACTCCTATTTTGGATTTTAATCAATATTTTACTCATATTTTACTCCTTAACTCTTTTTTAATAGAAAAAGAAAGGAGTTTGTGAGACATTGAAAAAGAAGAAATAAGGCGTTTTTGGGACGGAAGCAGGGAAGATACTACTCCCTCCGTCCACAAATAAACTTCACGTTGCGCGTTACGATGTTTGACTGAAGTTATTTTTAAATCATTTTATATGAAAAATGATGTAAAATTTAAAAATAAAAATTACATATTAAAAAACTATATAAAAAGATCTACAAAACTAGAGATGACATGACTATATTATTTTATCAAATAGGTGATGAAAATTGGCCAACAAAGTGAATAAAGTTTGACCCGGTGAATAGTGAACGGAAAGTTTATTTCTGGAGGGAGGGAGTATAAGATCCGAGTATAACGGTGTGTTTGGTAGGAGGTAGGTAAAGTTTTATTAGGTAGGTAATTGAAGGTAGGTAAAGTAAGGTAAGAAATTAAAAAATTGTGTTTGGATATTTATTAGGTAATGTAAGGTAAGGAATACAAAGAATTACCTAAATATCTCTAAGTAATTTGGTTTCTTTGCTTCTCCCGTCATCCATTAAAAAAACAGAAAAAAATAAGTTTTAAAACAAAGAAACTGAAAACAAAACAGAAAAAATGGAAAAAAACTGAAAAATAAAACAGAAAAAATAAAACAGGAAAAAATAAAAAATAAAACAGAAGAAAACAACAAAAACATAAGCATAAAAAATGGAAAACCATAAACAAAAAAACAAAAAGACACAGGAAAAGAAAACAAAAACGATTGAAAGCAAAAAAAAGAAAAAGATTGAAAAATCCCAAAAGAAAGAAACAGTAGCAAAAAAGTCTCAAGAAATCCGAGGAAAGGAGCGGTCCAAATCTGAGAAGAAACAGTCGCAAAAAAGGGAAGAAGAAGTGAGATCCGAGGAGGAGGAGGAGGAAGAAGAAGAAGAAGAAAGAAAGAAAGAAAGAAAAGGACAGGGAAGGGAAAGCCAAACCTTACCTCGAGTTACCGGAGAATCGGCGGGCGGAATTTTTCCACTATTACGCGGCTAGGCTACCTCCCCCTACCTTCCTCTACCTTCCCCGATTTGATTCCCCAAACAAGGTAACTCCTAAATCTCACCTCACCCTACCTTCACCTACCTCCAACCAAACACAGCGTAAGTTGCGTGTGGGGAGGGTAGTATGAGCTGGACGATAGATAGGGACACGTCATCTTCCTTTTTTTTCTGATGGATAAAGGGTACAGATGTACAATCCCACGCAGAGACTGTGTAGTCTTCGGTGGTTCATCATCTCCCTCACCCATTGCTCGGACATAGATTCTGAACCCTATACTTTGCCTGCCTGTTCCCGTACCCCCACCGTCTAAGGCGGCCCGGGACACCACCGGAGCAGCTCATTTCTCGGAGGCTGCATGAGTAGTTTCACGGCGGAAGGATCAGTTGAAGCGGAGCAGCGGTGCTTCAAGGGCGCGGATCCATGGGCGTGTCTATTGTTTCTCATGCTTGGTCACCGGTTCAATTCACACTCGTTCAAGATCGTTTTGTGGCGCGGCCTTGCTTTGGAGTACGCCATTGCTTCTCTTCTCGCCTGCGGTTGATTCCCCTCTTTACCCCCCTGAGGTACCTGCTTTGCTTTTCACTCTTGAACATTTCGAGTTGATACATTCTGAGAGTAATTTTTAATCATGTTTTGTCTTTTGAGATATATGCACCCTAATTTTGAGGTTACTTACAAGTTTTATTTAACTTGTAATCCGAGTGCAATTAGGGAAAAATTCATTTGCGTTGTTGAGAACATAACTTCAATTAGATGATAGATTCATTTTGGATTAGCTAGCATTCGAGTATATAAATGTCTATTGAAAATCGATACTCCACTTTACAACTACATGTGGGATATATGTAAAAGATGTCCACGGTTGGGCAAAATTGACCAAAGACATACATTTACCTCACAAAATATAGGATGTGGTTGTCATTCTTCACACTATCCACGAGGTTTATTGTTTATTTTTGTGGTAGTATTACAACTAGGTGATGTGAATGACGATTTAACTTGTTTGAGATTTGGTAATAGAAGTCCTCGAGGGTTTCTGGGCGTGGCGGACAGATAAGGCGTCCATGGCATAGCCTTACCTCCTAGGCAACGCCTTTCCCTCACCTCAGGCCTAGGCGGGGCAGTTTTTGAATTTTGAAAGCCAAATTTTAAAATATTTTGTCTTAACACTGTCTTATCTCTTGGGTCTCAATAATGATGAATATCTTGAATATGAGTATAATGTTGACTTATCTAGTGTGCATGATGAGTCTATGGATATGCATGTTTGGGTGATTAAACAAGTAAGATGGCAATGAATTTTTATTTGAATCGTGTTGTTATTTGTGATCTTCTAAATGCTTGGGCACACCATAGTTGTTACGACGGCTAGGCGAGTCTAGGCGCTAGGGTACCTTTCAATTTCCTAAGCGATTAGGCGTCCGCCTAGGCATCCTCTGGGCGAGTGGGCTATGACAACCTTAATAATTTTATAGATATTAATATAAAAGCATATTGTATGAAATAAATAATTAAAGAGTACATATGTACCCAAAAAAATTAAAGAGTATATATTCTGAAATATATGAACAAATGTTGTTTTTTAAAAAATTTAAAAATACTCAAAAAAATAAATATTTTATACACAAGTTAATAAGTTAGTGGGCTTTTAAAACTTTTTTAAAGTGAAATTAAATTTTGGGTCCAACACTCTTTTAATAAAGACCTATACTTAATAAGTGCAAAGGCCCACTACTCTTTGAATAAACTCAGCCCAAATTAGATAACCTAAATAACTAGAGAGTCGGAGGTTCTAGTAGAAGCCGTTGGAGATCTCGCGACAATGAATCAACATAGGCGAGGAAGGTAAAGTCAACCTTCCTCCAATCGTAAGTCTCTCTCCCTTTTGTCTTCTTCAGATATTCTTATTCTCCTACATACTCTCTCGTTCCTGTCATCTTCTTCTCCTGTGTTTTCGCAAAAAAGCTAGGCAACCAGATTGGCGTCCATAAAACCTCACCCAGGCGCCTAAGCATAGCCGAGGTGACGCCTTGATAACTATGGTGAACACTTAATTGTTTGTCTCAGATTATCTGGAGACTTTCATTACATATGTTGTGCCATATATCTTTTTGTGGTTATATATATATTGTGTGTGTGTGTGTATTTTCCATATATGTATTTGTGGTTATACACACACACACAATATAACCACAAATAGATGCATGGCACAACATATGTTATGAAAGTCTACACATAATCTGAGACAATCAATTAAGTGTTCACAAGCATTTAGAAGACTGCAAATAACAACATAATTCAAATAAAAGTTTCTCTCCATCCTACTAGTTTAATCACCCAAACATGCAAGTTAAAAAATTATCTTTAAACATGTCATTCATATAAATATCAATATCTATATTCATAAACTCATTATGGATGCTAGATAAGTCAACGCCATAGTCATCTTCAAGATACTCATCATCATTTAGACCCATGAGATAAGGCGACGTTAATCAAAATATTTTAAAATTTGGCTTTCAAAATTAAAAAATTTCCCAGGAGTGGGCACCTAGGCCTGAGGTGAGGGTAAGGTGACGCCTAGGCAAGTGCCTTAACGCCTCAAAGGTTTCTGTGCGAGGCGAACGGATATGGCGTCCACGACATAGCGCCTAGGCAATGCCTTAACAACTATGATATATATATATATATATATGCGTGTGTGTGTGTATATATATATATATATAGGAATTGACTCCAGTGAGATGACACCTTATGGTGAGATGACATGCTTCGGTGAGATGACGGAAAGCTCACCACACTATACTACAAAGCTCACTAATGGACAATGCAAAGCTCACCTAGAAGTAAAGTAAAGCTCACCACTTTGAACACCAAAAATCACCTTTTTTTTTAAATTTTGAAAATTAAAAATTAATAAAAAAATAAAATAGCAACACCGGTCAACAACCGGTCAGCGGTGGCGGAGCAGCGGCAGTTGCCGGCGACCTGCGGCGGAGCAGCGGCAGATTCGGGCAGAGCGGCGGCGGATTCCGGCAACCGGCGACGGAAGGCGGCGGATTCCTGCGAGTGACGGCGGAGCAGCGGCGGATTCCGGCGACGGTCAAAGGTCGTGGTCAACGATCAAAGTCTAGTCAACACCCCTTTCTTTGATTTTATTTTTTCAAAAAAAAAATCAAAGTATTGAAAAAATATGGTGAGCTTTGCCTTACAGTTTGGTGAGCTTTGTAGTTATACTTGGTGAACTTTGCAGTTGGCAGTGGTGAGCTTTGCGTCATTTGACCGTAGCATGTCATCTCACCGTAAGGTGTCATCTATATAGGTCGCGTAGGCAATATGAAGGTAGGTCAGTGCCTTGGCGCCTTAACAACCTTGCGAGGGAGTACTAACTTCCGTGTACATCCCAGCTCATGTGTTGAGTTTAGGACTTGATATAAATAATGGGGAGCCCCATCTTTAAAGTTATAGCCCAACTCCTAGCATCTATTGCCATGTGTCACCGGTTTGGAATTTGCATAGAGGATCTTGTACTTTTAAATCACAATCATTTTCAAACATTTTTGCCATGGGGTATAATTTGTGGCTCACCTTGCATGCACACGAGGCAACCAGAAATAACATTCTCTTTTGAAGATAGTATTTCTTGAAAGTGTGAATCTCTCCCTTGCATGTCTAAATTTGTGGAATAGAACCACTTGCTATTGGATAAGTGGTGTAAAAAGAGTGACTTCAAAATTTTAGGATAGACTTACAAGTTTGAAAATGTTGGGTCCATGTTGTTGCTACGGATTGGAATAAATTCTCACAATTTTGATGAGAAAAAGAGCATAAGGATAAGCTATCTACACATTAATATTATTGTTTAGTTTGTCAATCCATTAAGTCATTAAAATCAATCTTTAAAATCAACTTACTCCAACACAATGCAAAAAAAGGTTCAAATTGTTGTGCACCCGATTTTAATCACTTTTTATGGGATGAGGTGTGAGTTTAGTTTAAAAGGTATTCGTTTCAAGTTTCATATAAGTCATAAGGAACAATAAACATATAAATGATATTATCTATTTGAAATTAACTAATAACTTACAAACTACTTTGAGCAATTTGCATAGGCGGTCTTTAATTTTTCGAGGCCCCGTGCAAAAGTTTGAATTGTGCCCTAAAGCTTATAGTACATTAATTCACAAGTTACCTTTAAATCTTCTATTAGATATTTGTTGCCTAGTTAAATTAGTCTATTCAACTTTTATCTCTAATATATATATATATATATATATATATATATATGTATATATATATATATATATATACGGTAAGTCTAAAATGACACCAGTGCTACTGGTGTCTTTTGCTTACACCAATTCGTTTAGCATACCTACGGTGCTCCGTTTCTAAAAACGATAGTTCCTACCCCCCTAACCCTCCCCCTAAACCCCCCACCCCAGCCCCACCCTTGCCCCCCACCCCAGCCCCCCCTCCCGCCCCCCTCCCTACCGTGGCAGTATACTGCCACGCAGTATACTGCCAGGGTAGGGAGGGGGGCGGGAGGGGGGGGGTTGGGGTGGGGGGTTTAGGGGGAGGGTTAGGGGGGTAGGAATCGTCGTTTTTACAAACGGAGCACCGTAGGTACCCCAAACGAAGTGGTGTAAGCAGCTGGTGTATAAGTAACTGGTGTCATTTTA